TACAATCAAGTATTGTATCTCTGCTAGATAGCTCAGAAATGGTGCAATATTTAAAGAAGGCAAGGATGGAATCACAAGCAACTGCATCACTGGGTAACTGCAGAAATGAAATGGTCTGTCACTGTTTGGCAGCTGAAAGGAATACAAATTACTCTAGGCATTCTTTATCTTCTTTCTCATGAATACCCAAGGAATAAGCGAAGCATCAGTGCCCTCACCACAGACCATCCTGATAAAAAGCATCGAGAGAGAGGACACATACACACCCTCTTTATGAACACACATACAAATCTGGCATATCTCTTCAAGGCAGAACCATGATTTATGTAGAATGTAGTTTAAAGTGTCAAACTGACATTTTATTGTAGGCAACTAAGGCTGTTGCCAACAAAAAAGGCATTTCATTTCAAAAATATCATTAAACTTTAAATATGAAATACAATCACATAATATACTCTCATGTATCTCCTCCAGTGTTTACATCTTACCAGTTAGGAATCTACTTACTTCAGAGGTGTGCATTACTTTCTGCAATTTCATTATGCACAAATGTGTTCTATTAATCAAGTCTTCAAAATAATGGAAGGCAGGCTTTCTGATAGTTAACACTTCTGACTTTGATCATATAGAAGTGTTTTGGTTGTTACAGACAGAATTTCTTTTGTATACTTAACTAGAATGTTTTTGAAATCTTGTGAAGATAGTCTCTTCTGTAGTGTCAAGAGCTAAATGTTTGCAATTTTTGCATTATTCACTATGCTACCATAATGTACTAACTGTCTGTTGTAGGAGTCTACTTGTGCCACTGAACTACTACGTGCAGATTTAACTCTAATCTGCATATCTCTGCAAAAGGAAGAACCACAAGTTTTATTTTGCACAGTAAAAATGTTCAACTTTTAATTGCAACCAATTGTCTGCTGGGACTTGCTGCGATATTGTTAATGTAAAGATTACTTGAACATATTTAACTTGCAATTGCAACATTCCTGAAGCATATACAGTCATAGCTTAGATGAGAAGTAATAAGTAGCTCCATTTCAAGATTACTTAAACCTCCAAATAACTGCAATTTTGAAAAAATAGCACTATCAAAAAGACAAACTGCTCTAAAGTGCACAGAATTGTGTTTTCTTACATTTATTCAGCTTATTATACTGCAGTTATTTTAAATTCTTTTGAGGTCTAAAATTTTGTTTTATGATACGAATGTTTCCATCCTCCACATTCCCTCTCAATGTTTTGTACTACAGTGTTAGTAACACTGTAGAATCTACCTTTTCACAGCAGATCTTGCCTTGTTTTATATAGAAGTGCACACTTCTGGGGTCTATATTTAGACTTTTTGGAATTATTCTTCTCCAGCTGAAATAAAATTGCCACTTAAGGTACTTTTCTTAACATGCATTGTTTTGACAGCAGAGATCTATTTCTAGAAATAATTCTCAATTTGGTTATTGGTTTAGATGGTCCTACATTGTTTTCACTCTTCTTCATTGACTTTTCCAGAAAATGGCATAATTTTATGCAGAGGATAAGTGAAAACTGATAGATGAGAATCTTTGCAAATGCTCAGATTATCTATGAGCTGAAGATAAATATCAATATTTAATATACAATAATTAAACAAATTGAACAAATTAAATAAAACAAATGTCTGTTTTCCCTAAAATTCTCCACATAACCTCCTATATTTTTTCTAATACCAATAACAACAAATAAATCAACATGACAGTGCAAGCAATGAAACTATAGGCTTATCTGTCAATTTTTTTAATTTCTTCATTTCATATATAAAATTTTGGCACTCTAGGTGGGTACAATGTGGATGTAAACTTATGACTCTGAGATTCCAAGAGTATGAATGTGAACTGCTATCTTACAAAACAAGAAAATAATTTGGGCTTCATTTATCATATAAAAGAAGTGAGAGAGTATAAAATTATGTATGCGTTCCTTGTAAGAAACGTGTATTGCCTTTCTTGATCTGGCTCCTGGTTGAGAGGTAAAAGGCTACAGTTTGTGTTATTTTCATTTTAGACTAAGCAGAAATACCCAGAAGTCTTAAACTTTCTTTTGTTTCTGTTGATGCAGTATTAAAAGTACTGAATTCAAAAAGGTAGACTTCTCATTTACTATGACATTGCACTTTTATAGTTAACACAGAATTATCCTATACTTTTAAGGGCATTTGAACAAACCTAGAACCAACTTTAATATTAAGCTTACATAAGTCTGGAACTCCAAGCCTCTTCAAGCTAAACACAGATCACATCAAACAGATGTGCACAAATATTACTTAACTTAAACATCATAAGCTAGATTGTTTTACTGAATAACATGAGACAAAATGAATCTGTTCATACAATGACAATCCAAACTTTTAAAAGGATTACCTTCTGATGTAAGCATCATGTATTTGAATCTCAAAGCAAAAGCTGGTAAAGAATCAAATCTGGTAAGATGGTAAGATGGTAAACTGCCACCAATATTATGTCCCTCTTCTTTGCTCCCTTGTTATTGTCACTATCTCACTCAAACACATTTTCCCAGTCTTACCTTTATTCTTGTATCAACAATCCCTCATAATTGTTTAGAAAACTCTCTTCTATTGAGAATTTAAGGAAATCTGCAGAAAATAATGAAATGCTAGCAAGACAGCAGCATGTTAATTGAAAAAAAAAAAAAAAAAACCTAGCACAGTTTCCAACTGAAATGACAGTTTCTATACCAATTTACTCAAAATTAAGTATCTAATCACTGCCTGAATGAGATTCTAAAATTAGGCTTACCCTCCAGTTGTTAAATGCTCTCCATTATGAGATTCAAGGTTAATCTCAGTGCCTGGCACATAACAAAAATCCACAATTAAGTTTATTTGGCTTCTTTTCTTTTTCTTCCAATATGAAAAACAAAGTCAAAAATGGATATATTCCTTCTAAGTAGAGATGAATGCAGAAAGAGAAAAAAGAAGCACTGAATTTGTGGCCTCCTAGACACCAAAGCCTGGCTCCTAAGGGATTTAAGTCACAAATCCTCAACTTCAGCACCAATGCTACAGACATACAGCAGTCTCAGTACCCTCCTAATTCTCCTTCCTGGGTGCCTAATCAAAAGGCAGTGCCACATCCTGAAAATACACGAAAAGTGAATTTCTAACAGCTTCTTATTCCGGAGTCTTCCCTCCCTTCAGTCACCAACTCCAACAAAAGCTTGTAGGAAATTAGTGTCCTTGATGTCCTTAATTTTAGATCAACTAAAGTAATATTTGATATATTAGTCAAACTTAAGAGAAACTGTAAGAGGAATGTGAGAGGACAGAAGAGCATCTAATATAAGAAAAGCTGACAGAATGATTGACTATGCTATTACACTAAAATGGTCCTTTAGAAAACTGCTATCTATCTGCATATCCACACAGCAACCACTGTATACAAGCACACTGACCTTGCCTGGGGCCTTCCCTTCCATGAAGGACGGAATTCTTTGTCCCGGTCTTAGCTTCTCTGTCAGCCGAACCAGCAAGAACAGTGAAAGGAAGACTTCTGAATGTGCAGATAAGCTCTTTCCTTAGCTCAATAAAACTGAAGGATTATTTTTCCTGAACTGAAGGCAGAACTACTTTGTTAAGTTTTAGCAAAGGTGCAACACTTAGTTGTGTTTTGTTTTTTTTTTTTAATGTGAATAGAGTCTTACGTAGTAAGCCTGAGGATGGATGTCCACAGGAATGTGCTGCAGAGAAATCCCACTGTTTCTTGTGCTGTAGTAGAAAAGACTCTTACTGAAAATGGCACCTAATAACATGTTTTCATGCAGTCAGTTATTCAGTGCAATATTACCCGTGGTGAGAAATATAAATACCTACAATTATAAGTACTTTTCAAGGGGAAAGTGGCACACTTTTAAAGGGCTTTCTCCTATTAATACAGAAAGAGATAAGGTATGCCTGAAGCATGTAACCCATCTCAGAAGACAAATAAGTTACTCTCCTGAGATAACAAGAGTTAGAAAAAACAATCTGAAAAATACGCAGCAGGCATCAATCACTACAGTTTGAATTTGTGGGCAGAGCCATCCTCTACTGCTGTTCTCATTGAGGAATGGAGCAAAAAAGACAATAGTTCTATTTTGCTTTATAAGAACACAGAAAATGCTAGGGCAACTCAAGGCCTCTCTTGGGAAGGAGTGTTATATCTAGTTAAGCTATTCAGAAGACTGCCGGTAGTGGCATAAGAGAAGATGAAGTCTCCTAAATCATGGAGTACAGGAATGAACAGACCCATCAATCCATCAAAAAGCCCAAGCTCTTTGGTTCAAGAAATCCAGAAGCACTGCTATGGAAGTTGGCTATATGCACATCAACCCACTAGCATCAAACGATGTATATGCAAAGTTGAGAACATACATACTGATATATCCAGTTGAATATAGCTGTAAAGATTAGGTAAAAAACAGATAAATTAGTGCCTCAAATACTGTTCTGATCTGCATGGTTGAAATAAGCAACACTACAGAAGAAACTGGTTAACAAGAACAAGAAACTTCATTCCATTACTCTAAAAGTATTTTTGCAGATTACAAGCAATTTAATTTCACAATATTTTATTTTGAATTATAAATGCTAGCTAAAAGCCCGATGCCTGCACATCTTATTGTTCAGGATGGCACACTCACAGTTATTAACAGCAAGCATTTTTTTATCCCTGTATTCAGGCTATTCAGCATAGATGATATCTCCTTACTTTTAAAAATATTTGTTAGTATATATTCATAATTTACTTTAAAAACATCAGCTAACATAGGAAAGTATAAAACACAGTTTTAAAGTATGTAAATGTGAAAATCTACATGGTATGAATTAGTGACTTCTATTCATATCACCAATAATAATTTTATACCATAAGAGAATTAAAATAAAGGATATAGGAAAAAAATGAAAGTTGCAAATTAACTTTAATAATTACTCTTAAGACAGTATTTTCAATGACTACAATCATTTGTCTTGGAAAGCTTCTATTTGAATATGTGCTTGCTTATTTCGTAGACCTTCTTCACAAAACTCATCCAATGAACAGGACCGTTTTACCTAAAATCAATATATAAATGAGAAAAAATAACCATGAATAGTTAAAAAATAACTTTAACCTCCCAGTTCTGTCTTTCCACTACATAATTATTGACAACAGAAAGTAATTTCTATATCGCACTTGATGCAGAATCAAGTCTCCACATTAAAAAAAAAAAAAAAAAAGGCTAAAGAGAATAATCCAAAGACACAGACATTTGAGATGAAAGAAAAATGAAATATATGTAGAACCACCTAAGGAGCTGAAGGGAAAAGCAGGAGCTGTATTCAATAAAAAAAGGAATATATACGATCAAAAAAACCCCCCCCAAAAAACAAAAACAAAAAACCGAAACCAAAAACCCAACAAACCTAACAAAAACACTTGACCACTCACAAGCAGATATATTGATCATTAATATAAATGACTTGATGCCTTAACATACTGGATTTTATCAGTGTGTCATAACACAATCACATTTGCAATTAACACTCAAAACTAAAAAATAATTCCCACTCTCATTTAAGTGGTGAACGTACAGTTCAAGTGTGTTCGTGTTTCATTGTCAATGTTCAACAGATCCTTTTTACTGGCTTTTAAATAACAAACAGCATAGCAAATCATGCATATTACAGGAGCGAACATAAAAGTGTTTTATATCAACATCCCAGGTATGTGGGAGTTGCACAATGAAGAAGTGTAAAGACTCTGAGCACAATCCAGTACAATAAGAAATGCTCTTTG